GGATCAGTGAGCAAGTAATAGACAGACAAACAGAAGAACTAATTGTTGATGTTGGTGACAGTGATAGAGATTCCCATGATGAGAGTGAATGTGAAAACTAACTATAAAACAAAAGCAATAGGTTAATTTTTTCTTTCTGATAAGTCATGTTTTTACATTATTTTCTAGTACGCTACTGTCCTATCAGTATTAATACTATAATTTACGCCTCCTGAAAGCTTATTTGTGTATCGGTTCCAAGTGACTTACCCAAATAGGTCATAAATGGGCAAGTACCAGCGCGACCGCTCGCCAGCTTCCTTCGTCAGACCTGTACCTTTATTGTGATATGATATAAGTGGATAAATATACTAATATTTAGCACTAATAAATTGCCTTTTTTGTGCAAATCTTTTGCTGCAGCTATCACATTGAAAGTTAGCTGCTGAATGGGATCCTGGGGCCTTTCTGCTGATAGTCCAGTTGACGATGTACCTTTTGCTACTTGTCAAAAAATCCGTCAATGATCTACGCGATTACTCATAATTTATGTTGCGCTTTAGTTGAGTGGTTCAATATTAAAAATAATCGTTGATAAATTTATGAGCAATAAGCTGCTACAGGTATTTATTACCTATTACAGAAAAGGTTGGAAGCGTTCGAAATGTGGTGTTAAAGGCGAATAATAAAGATACCGTGGATAGAGAATAAGGTTAGATATGAAGAGGTATTAGAAAGAGTAGGAGAACACAGGACTCTATGGAAGTCAATAAGAAATAAGCGATATAGGATTGTAGGACACCTACTCAGACATCAAGGTCTAGTCAGAGATAAATTTTGGCAGAAACGGGAGTTGTAAAGGGTAGAGGTAGACCTACATTAGATTATTGTTCGCAAATAGTTAAGGATGTTGGTTGCTCCAGTTTTAGGGAAATGCGAAGATTAGCTCAGGATAGGAAAGAGTGATGATGATGATGATGGTTATGACAGAAAATATTCATAAAGAAAAATGAAGTATGATATAATGATTAAATGTACCCGATTTTGTATAGAAATACTGAAAATGGCAGACAGGCAGATATTTGTCTAGTTATTATAAAAACAAAAAACAAGTCTCATCAGTATAGCACAGTTAAATGTAGTTTTTCAAAACATGAGTGAGGTATATATATATATCCTATAATTAAAGGCAGAATGAACGGCGATCAGTGTACATAGAAAATGGTTTTTCAAAATAAACAGAACTTTGATAGTGATATTTTGGTCAGATTTACTCAAGATCCAACACATCTATTATAGGTCTCTTATTTGTCCTGCAAAAAATGTCGACGGAGAATTTTGTTTTCAAAACATGAGTGAGGTATATATATATATCCTATAATTAAAGGCAGAATGAACGGCGATCAGTGTACATAGAAAATGGTTTTTCAAAATAAACAGAACTTTGATAGTGATATTTTGGTCAGATTTACTCAAGATCCAACACATCTATTATAGGTCTCTTATTTGTCCTGCAAAAAATGTCGACGGAGAATTTTGTTTTTTAAGAATGAGGCCTAAACATCTAGCTCACCTATACTAAAAAGGGTCTTCTTCGCAGTCTGTACGTTCAAATGGATGCGCATAGAAGCGTTATCGCTACGTAACAAGCCCTTTGTGCTTTATTGAATACATGTACAGCAGCAGGTTTGAATCCAAATTACAAGTAGCAGACAACAAAAGCACAAACACGTCCACATACACACGTACACCCAGGCAGAGATAGTAAATACATGCACAACGACGAGTGGTCCCCAATGCACGTCGGATGTTAAAAGTGTATCAAGTTTATGAAATCAGTTCCAGTCAAATTGACATTAGAGTATTAATCAAGTGTGCTTGATTATCATGTGAATGGACATCGTCTGGTCCCATATGTCAACTTCCCACCCTCTCTGAGCGTCGCGCCCTTGCCCCGGCGCAAAAACAGCGTATTCTACTATAAATATAGTAGTCGTCGGTTGATACGTCATCCGGCTTAAGTGGGATATATTTGGACGCAGACGCGACGGCGTACACCGTGTAACGTCCCCAGAGGGACGTTTTCTAATACCTATAGAACTGCGGCAATTAATTTGTGAATTAAAAAAGCTTCTGAATCGATTTAAACAGCCGGGCCAACTCGCCTGTTGGTGCTTTCGAATTCAATCGCTGCCGCGGCCTTTACTTAATTTTCATTTTGTAATTAAAAAAGGAAGCGGAAAGTTAAACACCTCGATCGTTTAGCAATCGAGAAGCATTCGAGAAAACAAAATGGTGTGTATTTTCATAGCTTTATACTTGATCTATTTAGTAGAATGTCAAGTCATTTATCATACATATTTTTACTCGGTAATTTACAACTGTTTATGAATTGGGTAAAAGTTTCTTATCGCAAAAATCAGCATTGTCATTTCCTAGTTTTTTATTGAAATTTCCTAGTTTTTATTTATTAAGTAAAACAAAATATAATACAAATTCTGTATTTTAAGCACATGATTTTTTAGCCTCCTACTTAACTAGAAAGAATTAAAAAAATAATAATTAGGCGAATCACTTACTGGATTGTTTTATAAATTTATAGGGTTGTTCGGAAAGTCATTTCGTTTTTTCCCGACAGAGGATTTAATTGTATGTATGTATGGGTTCCCCATGTTCTCACAGAGAGAAATCTGTGTCGCCCTATTGACGTCGGCGATTCGCTTCTCAAACATCACGAAAATGATCCGTTTTTGAAGTGCTTCATCACTGGGGACGAAAAATGGGTTGTATACAAAAACGTCAAACGCAAGAGGTCATGGAGCAAAAAAGATGAACCGGCTCAAACCATTTCCAAAGCCGATATTCACCAAAAAAAGGTGATGCTGTCTGTTTGGTGGGATTTTAAAGGAATCGTTTTTTTTGAGCTTTTACCGGATAACACAACGATTAATTCGGAAGTCTACTGT